CCGGCCCTCCCGGTCGATGCCGGGCCGAGTCCAATGGTCGTTTATAGTTTCTTTAGTTTCTTCAAAAAGAATGACGTGTTCATCGGCTATGTATAGTGACGGCGACATTAACGTTAAAGTATCACATGTGTGCTGCATTTTACCGGGCTGACTCGCCGTTGCAGCGACGTGTCCGGAAAAATTGCCGGAAAACCGGCCGGCGAATCGCGCCCGCCTCCGCGCTCGACAGCGCTCGCGAATGAGCCGGAAGGCGCCGCGCCGCGCCGCGCCGCGCCGGGTCGCGACGTGACTCTCGCGATAATTTCGCGGGAGCGCCCGCGCCGGAACGACACGCGGTGGATCCCAAGAGAGAGAGAGAGAGAGAGAGAGAGAGAGAGCGTCGATATCCGCGAAACTTCGCGGCTCGATCTCGGTGCGACTCGCGTGCGAATCGATCGCAAACGGTGTCGCGTGTTCCGGCGGACATCGCGCAGAAAACCTAATTAAGCCAAATCACCGCTTCATCTCACTCTTTCTCTCCTCTTCTCTTTCCAATGCGTGATTCTTCTGCCGTGATCCACGTGGCTGACGTAACGGCTTCCGTCCTCCTCCGACAGTCTCGTTTCCGCGTCAAGCGGATTTCTATTCCCGGCTACTTTGATTTCTGGTCTCTGATTTCGTCGTTAGAGACGCCGCCGTCTGCCGCGTCTTCCGATTTCGGATTGTCCGATTTTGCCGAAAAGGACAAATCCGCGTCCCACGTGCGAGCGTGTGTCAACAATCGCCCACTCACAGCAGGGCGCAGAGAGATGCACAGCACTGCGCTGCCGTTGCGCGGAAAATCTCCTCTCGAACTCGCGGGACCGGCTCTAACGCGTGAGAAGAGAGGAGAGGAGAGGAGAGGAGAGGAGAGGAGAGGAGAGGAGAGGAGAGCAGGCTGAAACGAGAGGCGTTAACGGGATTAAATGACGCAAGGCGCGAGCCGATTGAGCCGTTGGGCTCGTTAATTTAACGGTGACGAAGGTAGAAGAAGAAGCGCCGCGCTCGCTCGCTCGGGCCACAACGAGTCGGTAACATTATCCGTTTCTATCTTGTGGTTCTATTACCCTTATTGTTAAACTTAGAGTTACTGTGAACTACGGAGTGAACTATAGACCCCGCGCTCTGTTGTCGCAACACTCGCGGCGACTGCGACGCGGGCCACGTGGCCGCAGGTGTGTGGCCGCGGCGCGTGCGAGCGGCTCGTCAAGCGCTTCGTCGACGGCGAACGCGCCGCGCCGCGCCGCGAGCGTTCTCCGCGTCCTTTCGTCGATCCCCCAGGGGCGAAACTTCGCTCGACGCGACGGCTCTCCGCCGTCGGAGAACTCTTGATTGCCGCCGCTGCTTGTCCGAATCTCACCCGCGGCTCGAGCGGCTTTCATGACGCCGAGCTTGACGAAGGCGCTTGAAGGTGCGGGAGAACGGCGAGCGAGATTTTCGCTCGCAATTACACGCGCGAATTGTTTGTGATGGCCGGAGTCACGACCCCAGCCCCGAACTAGGCGAAACTACGGAAGCGAAACTATAATGATGTTGTAGTGAATAATGTAGAGGAGTTGCGACGGCAGTTGTGTCGTAAGTGTGACGAGTCGTTCGAAATTTCGCGATGAGTCACCCCTCGTTGGCTCAGCCGGGCTTGTCGTTCGCGAGTCGCCGCCGAGCCGTCAGTCCGCTCGAATCGCCTCTCCGTCGCCTCTCTCTCTCTCTCTCTCTCTCTCTCTCTCTCCCTCTCTCTCTCTCTCTCTCTCTCTCTCTCTCTCTCTCTCTCCCTCCCTCTCCCTCTCTTTCTCTCTCGTCGACGATTGTTTATCGTCGAGGTGGCGCAAGCACGTGGATCCTCATCATCGACGTGATGATTCCTGCGAGCGCGAACTGCGAAGCGCGTGCGCGCGCTTGCCTGCGATTGCGTATCGTATCGAATGAAATTGCAATAAAACATAGCCCGTACGTGTCGTTACCGGAGAAGTAATGCAATACTCGCGGATAGATTAACCCCAAAGTCGCGTCGTATACAGCGCGGTTATTGCATTATGCCTGTGTGTGTGTGTGTGTGTGTGCGTGCGCGCCGTGCATGCGACGTGTTGTTTGGCGTTTCGCGGAAGTCATCCTCTGTTATCGGAGAGCGAGCCGCTTATTGCGAATAGCGAGCGCTATGTCAATTCCCCATTCGCGTGGCACCTGGCGCGTACCTGGCGAGCGACGTAATTCGGTCTATCAAATTGTAAACAAGCGCGCGCGTTCTCCGTTGATGCGAAAATTTGCGAAAAAAAGGACGCTTACTCCTTTCCGGTATTCGAGACACCGCGGATTTACGCGAGACGAGATGGAATATCTCCGTCGGACGTCTCACGTAGTGTACGAAGGACGGAAAGTTTGCGCGAAATTTTGAAACTTCGTGCGGCAGTCCGGCTGCAACATTCTTCGGTCAAATCGGTTCTTTTTTTACAGACGAGACACAATTAGACGGACGTGGGAATGAGTCTCTTCGGTCGACACACGTCGGTGCGCATCATTTTGCAGAGCAATATCGCGTCTCGCGAAAGGACATTACGCTCATAAACGCTCGGCGACGCGACGCGAAGGCCGTAACGAGCATCGATCATGAGATCGTAAACAAAGGACTGCGAGAGCGAGGCGATCTCTTCTCGTTGGCTACACTAATTCGGGGCGGGATGATCGTTAGAGGCGTCGCTCGATAAACGGACGGCGACCACCGTGCGCGTTTAGCTATATATTTCTCCGTCTACATCGATATCCTCGTTATAAGGCGTATCGAGACGCTCGGGGGAAAAGTTTCGAGGAAAACTTTCGTCGAGTGACTGGGTCATCCAATCAGACGTGGAATCAGTAAATTCTCCTCGCACGATTTGGCATCGAGCGAACGAATTCCTTAATCCGGCAGTTCCTTCCCTTCCCTTCCCTCCCCCCCTCCCCCTCCTCCAGCCTCCTCCTCGAGGGCGGTGGTATTAAGCGACGGAAAAAAGGCGGAATTGCGATATCGAGCGGGGTTGGCCTTCGATTTTCATAATTCACGAACGCTCTGCGTCTGCCATCGATCGCCGTTAGATCGGGCTCTCTCTCTCTCTCTCTCTCTCGTGACCGAGCTGCTCTCAACGGCGTTGTCTCAGCGATTGACGGAATCGTCGAGTCGTTTTCAGTTTTCAGCCGCGATGAATTATTAGACATTAGAGTTGGTCGGCTTTCACAATGCACATACACGAGGTTTGATGAAAAAGTAAGGAGAATTTTGAAATTGCGCGCGCGCTGTATCTTGTCTGCTCAGTCGATTCTTTGTGTGTGTGTGTGTGTGTGTGGTGCGCACTACCAGTGACGTACGACGTGTAAATTTTCAGGCAGCTGCGACGCTCAGCTTTGTGTTTGTGAACGCGAGCGAACGAACGAGCAAGCACGTGTACTTCGGTGTGTCGGGCGATTTTCTGCGCGGCGAAATCAGTCGGTTCAGAGAGTTTGTCTGCAAATTTGCGTTAAAACAGTACAGCGCGCGACATAGTCCGCGAGCAACGACTAACGATCGCGCGCGCGCCTGCCCACCGGCGGAGTAATTGATCGTTTGTATTACTATAGACTCGACAATGCGCCTCTCTCAGCCAACGCGCGATGTAATTTTCCTTTTGCGTAGGTAAGACTATTTTGATGAGAAAGCCCGCGACTTCTATCAAGGAGAGACAGAGAGAGAGAGAGAGAGTCGACCGACTTAAGTAAGTCCTGAGCTGCGACGTGTGTCAGGGACCCCCGCCCCCCCTGCATCGCGGATCCCTTCGCAACTTTCTCAAGGATCCCGCCCGTTGCATTGTGGCGAGCGCGCGCCGACAAACACACCTCGCGCCGCGGCCGACGGCGGCAGGCAGGGTGTTGGAAAGTGTTTTTCCTAGAAGCGAGCTTTACACGAAGATCGCACTGAAAATCACGCGCGCCGCGCCAAGGACACTCGCGCGAGTTCGTTAAATCTTGATTACTCGACATCGACCGCGCGTGATGTCGCGCAGGAATTACTCGCGGCGAAGTCTCGCGCGCGCGCGCGCGCGCGCGGTCTTTCTGTAATTCCCGTAACGCAGGACATGCAAAGATGAAGCGTTAACGACCGACTGATATATTTCTCTACGCTTCTCCGTGCTGTCTGCGACACACGCGTGTGTCTCGCGTGTCGGACGTTGTGTTACAGCGAATTCGGTTGTTCGCACTTTAAGTGCCTGTTAAAAGCTCGTTCGTTGTTCATCCTTATATTTCAAATCGTGTTAAACATGTATACATCTTTAAATATTTCCTCGCCAGTGAAATGGCCATCTATTGTGCCATCCATACGCGGCCATCATTTTGTTGGCCAAAAAATATTTAAAGGTGTTCAATTAACACGATTTTAAATAATATAAGGATGAACAATGAGCGAGCCTTAACGTGGCGGCACTCAGTGCGCACTAGTGCAAGCTACCGAATTCGCTATTAGCGTCGTCGCGAGTGCGCATC